CTAATGCAGCAATATTATCCCATGACTGTATTAAGTGCTTAACAAGATCTCTAATTGAGAATAACGTAATGTCATAACAATGTGATATTACATTAATAGATTCATAGACATAAACTTCCTCATAAATTTCAGTGGTGCAATAAGTTCCTACAGCTTTCCTACAATACTCAATCCACTTTTTTGAGGCTTTCACCTCTGCATTGAAATACAGCAACTGATGAACAGTGAAGTGTTATGTGGTGCAAGTTTAGGGAGTAGTATCTGTAGCAAAGCACAGCTGAAGAGGAATTTTAGTAGAGAAAATCTGCAGCCATTTGTTCCACCTTCAAATCCGCTTCACACAGAACTTCCAGAAGAGATTTTCCATTCAAGTTCACATTCAGACCTTCTTTAATTTAATATTTGCCATCATGATAGTGCAGAGTTGTGTTATAGTTGCAAGATAAATCTAATTTTTTTAGCCACCAAGTCGGATCAGAGTTTATTCTAAAAAGCATGGCATTCATGAATAGGAAAAATACTATCATAACAAAAACTGTATTATGAAGTTCAGTTCCCAAGACCCTCTCCTAAACTGTGAAGTGCTTGAGAAAAAAAAAAAAAATCTATTTCTATTTAAATGGTGAAGGGGCATCAAAACTCCCAAATGTTTGCATAAAATTTTGTGTTTAAACATGGAAAAGACAAAACTGCATTGATAACAGTGAAGATATGAGACTAAACATGAAGGGCTTTCATGGCCTCAGAATGTGTTTGCATAAAAATTTGCAGAAGGACATTTTAGTCTCATTCTAAGTTACATCAACCTAATTAGAGGTTGTGGACAGAAGTAGGTACTTAAAAATTATATAACTTTAACTGAGAATTCTTTCTGAAGTATTGTTCCCACCCTTCTAGAATGCTGGTTGTTATAAAAGCCAGTAATTTTCATTATTAATTTAATATATTTGTCTGTGATTTAATCTCAAAAATTTGATTAAAAAATATTGGGGCAAGATCTGTTAGCATGTATTTTTTAAGCATGCTCAAATCACCCTCTATTCTACAGGGCAGCACTGTTCAGCTCAGGGAGGTAAATCCTCAACAATGGTAGCTGCTTGTCATTCTGGAGAAATCCCCTGCCTTATCTATTTCTATAACAATTCACATTTTACCAAACTGGTTTCAGTGGGATCCGTAAGACACTAAAGCATGCTTTCTACCCTACATATAACTGGTAAAGCTTTACTTAATGTATCTGCTTCAGCAGTACACTTCAGGAAACATGGACCAGCTGGAGGGAGACCAAAGAAAAAAGAGAGTGACTGGCAATTAGGAAACATGACCTAAAAAAAAACAACTGCAAAAACATGTGTTATTTGAAGGACTAAAAGACTTCCGAGGAGTGAAAGAAATAAGGATTTTTTTAATGTTTAGTGTATTGATGTAAAAAATGAAAAAAATCTGATTGCTATGTCCAGCATGCAAATAATGAATATGCTGTAACAGCAGAAACTGACATTTAAAGTAAATGTTGTTGTTTTTTTCCTTATGATAAAGTAATTCAGCATTTTAAACAAACCGGTATGATGATAGCACAACCTTAACCGTGTTTAAAAAATTGCATGCCAAAAATTATATATTTATAACTAATCTTGCCTTTGGGCCATGGAATGAGACTACTTGACCTCTTATGACTCTCTGTTGAACTTTTATTTTCTTTTGATTCTTGGCTATGAAGTTATTTACAATAAACTTAACTCCTTCTGTAAAGGCTCCAAGATCAGGCCCTAAATCTGTCATGGTGTTGATAATCATGACGATCAGAAGTGTGACACTTGTAAAACTGGAATGTGAAATCCCTTACCTCACAAAATGTCAGTGAGAATCCCTTTAAGAATGACCCTGTGATATGATCCTGACAAATCCCAGCTGTATCTGAAATGGAAAGGTTATTTGACAGTGAGCTTTATTTTAGTGTGGTGACTTCCGGCTGTCTGTAACAAAAATAAAGTCAATGATATAGTCAAAACACCCTAATCTCCTAGGAGGCCAAAACCAGTCATATTTCATTTACTATCACTTGTTTCAGATAATCTTTAGTTTATTGCTTAATGGTTCTTGAATGCTGAAATTCATAAATGATGATAAGGTCAGCAGCATTCTCCTAAGTATACAAATAATCTGTAAAATGTAGGTTTTTTTAGACTATCCATGCCCAAAGAGAAAATCACCTTTGACTAAATTATTTTTATTTTAGAACTAACCCTGTCTGAGTGCACATTGTGTACATGTACCTCTTCTTACAAGTTGTCTGAGCCTACATTGGCAGCTGAACTCTGCGCATAGAAAAAATTATGCATTTTGAGAACAAAAAAGACATCACAGCATTCTAGATAGCACAATAGGTTTGGATTTTTTCCACGTTCCTCAGTTTTTCTTCTGTTTCCCCAAGCTTTCTTCTGTTCTCCCCAGTCTTACACTAGCATTCATTTTGATTGAAAAATGGTTTTAAATGTAGGATAAAAAAATTACAGTGGCTTTAGATTGAATAAATTAATGAAAACTTATGGATCTGGTTACCTCCACTGAACCACTGCTTTGTGCCGCACAGGTGTTGTCAGGAACTGGTCTTGTGTAACTAAGAACTGCTTCAGAGAGGGACAAAACCTTCCTGCTGCTTTAGCCTGTTCTTATGTTACTGGCACAGCCTCAGTGCAGGAGATGAAGCAGGACCACGTCTTTCTCTCCAGTGACCCTTGATTTCTTTGTGGTTATTACTGGCCCCTTTTCCTTGTAAACTGAGACTGGGGTAAAAGCTGTGAATGAGGTACCTGTCATGCCATAGTCCCTCGATAGCATTCAGATGACAGAATTCTCTGCCTCTTATTTCTCTTATTTCTAGAGGCTGCAAATTACATCACTAAATCAGCAAAGATTGACTTCCTAGGTAGCACTGATTCCCTTGCAATTCAAGAACCTCCCTCCAGTTTCCTCATCACTGCATATACCTTTCTCCTTACCCCTGAGACTACTGTTACCTGCTCCCTGCAGGAACAGCCCTGTAGAAGGGAGATTCCTTCTATCATTTGCAGCCTGCTAGGCCTTACAGTTCCTCAAATAATTTTTTCCTGAATGGGCTCCTTACCCGGTTCTTCTTGTAGTCACTCGTGTAAAAAAAAAGAAAGAAACAAAACCAGGCCAGAGATGCTGAAACACTGTCAAAGGAGAACTGGGTGTGCAAATGGTGGGAATAGGGCTATATGTCTGGGGTTTACACCTTTCCCATCACGAGTTTCTGGAACTGATTTTGGCTAATTCTTGTTCCAGCTAACCATCTTTCTAGAATACATTTCTACTTATAACATAGAACTGCTCAGAAGGGAAGTATGAGTCCTAATCTTTGCAAAGAAATAATATTTACTGTTCAGTCTTCCCACCACACTTACTGTTGTTTATGACTCTGGCAGTGACACACAGTGCCCTGTTACATTCTTAGTGGGCTAGAAACTAAATATATGCATGAAAAATACTGTTCCTAGCTCAAGGAATTTGCAGTTTAAAACATGTTATGGCAAGATAAAGCAAGAGCTGTAGACAATTTTTTCCATCTCTACTGAAATTTTACTTGTTTAGAAAGTGAGTGTTTATTGTCTGCAAGCCACATAGAATAAAATAAATGTAATACAAATGACAATGAAAAGGAATTTTCTCTCCAAAATTGTTCTATAGAATTTTTCTTCCTAAAGTACTGAAGCAAAAAATATATCTGTAACCATGGAGATTATACCAGGCAACATGCATAATAATTCAAACTGTGGCATCACACAAATGTTCTTTGTCATGAGTGGATTACTACAAAGAAGTAGGTTTCCCCTTAACAATTTTCAGAAGCAGGATAGATGTGGTTCATTTCTCAACCTTCCTTTTTGCAAGGGGGAAGGGGAAGTGTCAGCACTGTGGCAAGTGCAGTGGAGTAGTATTTTGTTCAGTTTGAAAAGACCCAGCTTCCCAGGTTCCTGGGAGTTTTGAATCAGATATGATTTGCTGAAAATATTTGTCTTCTGTGAATAGTCACATCAGAGCAATGAATCCCACCACACATGGCACAAAAGATATCCATGGCAAAATATAGTTAAGGATAAATAGTAAACAGTTCAAATTAATTTTTACTTTTTTTGTTTGTTTGTTTGTTTATTGGTTTGGTTTGATTTTAAGACTACATACAAGTGTACAAAATCTGTATTAAAACCATTTGTGCTTAATCCTGGAAATACCAAGATTTGGCTAATTTCAGCATTAGCTATAAAACAGCATTCCTTCACGTTTGGCAATATTTCTTTCTCTACTTATTCCTTCTCTGAATGGATGGCATCAAATAGCAAAGAGCTCTCAATCTGACAGTTTCTAATGCAGGATGAATATTGATGTGGCTCTTAGTCTGATACAATCTATAAGGCAGAGGGGGAAAATTGCTGCAATCAGGACCTTTCATAATTCATTAATTTCATAATTTCACTTTTTCACCCAAAGGGTTAACTAAAATCTGGTGGTTTGCAGTTGTTTGAGTTAGGAGGAGAAACTGATGATGATGCAAGGATGATGTAAATCCTGTTAACTTACAAAAAATGTAGAAAATGTTGTTTCCTCAAGACAGGAGAAATTAAGAAGATATGTCCTTTTTATGCAGTCCTGAAGTCCTCAGTTGTTTCTCAGAGCTCTACACCTACTTTTTTTTCCTGCCTCTGTAACTTCTTTTTTCCAGTTCCTGGCATTTTTTACCAACCCCGAAATTATATGTTATGGTAAATGTCTTTCCAATTCCTCCTCCATCTTATTTTGCTTTGGTAAGAGGCCACTGTTCCAACTATCACTTCTATAAAGCTGGACTTTTTCTTTCTTTGCATTTATTTTAAGTGACAGGCCTTTTTTATGCTCTCCAACTTGGAAATGCAATTTCATCCAGCCACCAGTGGATAGGGGTTGAATGTAATTAAATTCTTTCCCTTTCTTTTCTGTAGGAGGCTACAAAGAGGCCCACTGTGAAAGCAGGAGTTAACACAGTTACTTAACACATTACTTCTGTCCCAGAGGAGCCGAACCCTGCAGAGATCAGTGGTAATTGTCATTTCCATCATTGCCCAGGATGGGTGTTTTCATGCAAAGAATGTTTTTCTAGAAGGAATAATTTTACTCAACACATTCATTCTTAAATTTAGTGTGTGGAATTCAAATAGGTCAACATTTATATATAGAAAAATTAACCAAATTAAAGCAATGTGAAAGGTATGTTTTACTTTGTGACTTGCCAGATAGAGGTGCCTGACCATGTGATGAGCAGCATTAGGATTGGCTAGAGAGATTTTAGATTTGGGAACTGATAACGATTTGAAAAAATAGGCATAGTAAATACAGCAATAGCCATTATTTTCTTTTCCTGAGAAGTGAAAACTGCTCTGTACAGCACACATGTGACATTATTGCAGCACAATGATTTAATAAAGCACTTAGCACTCCCAACCCTTATGAGGCAAATCAGAGACACTTCCACTCCTTTGCCTTCTGAGTTCAGATTTAATTTCTGCATTCCTTGATAGAATTTGCACTACAATGTATGGTGCCTTTAAGACAGAGCCCTTCCTAACTTCTTTTCTTCCCTCTGTACTTGGCACTGGTGAGGCCACACCTGTGTCCAGTTCTGGGCCCCTCCGTTCTGGAAGGATGCTGAGGTTCTGGAGCATGTCTGGAGAAGGGAACAGAGCTGGTGAAGGGTCTGGAGCACGGGTACTATGAGGAGTGACTGATGGAACTGGGGTCATTTATCCTGGAGAGGAGGCGGCTCAGGGGAGACCTTATCACTCTCTACAACCATCTCTCTACAATCAGTCTCTTTTCCCAGGCAACCAGCCACGGGACGAGAGGACATGGTCTTAGCTGCAGGAGGGAAGGTTTAGGTTGAGCGTTAGGAGGAATTTCTTCACAGAAAGGGGTGATTAGACATTGGAATGGGCTGGCCAGGGAGGCGGTGGAGTCACTGTCCCTGGAAGTGTTTAAGGAATGGCTGGACGTGGTGCTTGGTGTCATTGTTTAGTGACATGGTCGTGTTCGGTCACAGGTTGGACTCGATGATCTCAGAGGTCTTTTCCAAAATGACTGATTCTGTGATTTCGTGCTTCTTTTGGGTCAAATCGAGGCAAACAGTGCTCGGGGAGAACGGGCAGAGGTAGCAGTGCGGTGAGGAGACCCTGCCCAACCCTCCGGCTGCTCCTCAGGCGAGCCCGACCCCCCCTACCCTCACAGGGATCGACGCTCTTGCCCGCCCCCGGCCCCGCCCCCCGCGCTCCCCGCAGCCGATTGGTCCGCGCAGCGCCACGTGACCGCGGGGCGGGCGGGCGGGCGCGCGCTCGTGGGGAGCCAGGCCCGGCGGGAGCGGCGCCGGCGAGGGCGGAAGTGCGGGGCGGGGGCGCGCGGGCGGCGGCGGCGCCCCCTCAATGAGAGCCGGGGGTCGGCGGCGGCAGCAGCGGGTACAGCCGGGCTGGGGGGCGCAACCAGACCGCGGGGCGCAGCCGGGCCGGGGGGCACAGCAGGACCACCAGCCGCGCCGGAGCCCCCAGGTGAGAGCGAGGAGCGACCCCGGGATCCACCCCCGCCATACCAGCCCTGGACAGGTGGGAGGGGGCTCAGCCGTTCCGACCCCGCGCCCCCCGTGAGGGGAGGCGGGAGCCGCCGAGTCCTGGCGCTGCCCGGGGACGGGCTGAGCGCCGCTGTGTCCGCGCTCTGCGGAGGGCGAGGGGAGGTGTCGCCGGGGGTGCGGGGCAGCCTCTCCCCGCGGGGGGCGAGGGGAGCCTGCGGGTTCTGCCCCGGGACGCGGCCCCTGGTCCGCGGGGGAGCCCCGGGGTGCGGGCAGGGGTAGCGGCGGTGACCGCCGGGCCTGCGCGGGGCCGCAGTGGGAGGCGGGAGGCCCCGCTCCTGCGGCTCCCGGTGCCGCCGGGTTGAGGTGGGGCCGGGGGACAGCGATGACTCGTATCTACAAGTGGGACTGGGAGAGGGAGAGGCCGAGGAGGAGCCGGCCTTGAGCCCCGGCTCTTCGAGCGGGTTCCTCCCGTGCCGGCTGCCCTGCCTTCCTTGGGCTGCCCGCGGATAAGTGATAACGTTTTGTCTGTGCGAGATAAACGGGGGGTTTGGGTGCTGTCGGTCTCAGCCGAACCAGAAGTTCCTGAAGGATCTTGTTTTATCTGGGCAGGTTCTCTCTGTGCTGGTCTTTATCCTCCCTGCAGCCTTGCGGGTGTAGATCTTGTAGGAAGGGAAGGGTGGTGCCTGAGTGTGACCTTACCTGGAGAAGGGCAGGGACAGAGGTGAGGCAAAGCAGCCCAGTCCTTCCTGAACAGCTGAGGGAGGCCTAACTCGGTCATTCTGCTGGAGCCCTGTTGAATCGATTCTAATCTGAGAACAGGAGACTTAGTCTTGAGTACCCCTGGGTATTTTCATGGTGGAAGGGAACAAGAGGACTATACTTGCACTAGGGTCATCCTTGCATTTTTCAAAGCTGTAGCCTGCAGTCTAGGTAGCTTTTGTGGTTTGTGGGGGTTTTTTTGTTTGTTTGTTTGGTGGTTTTTTTTTTGTTTTGTTTTTTTTTTTTTCTGAACTGTCCAAATTTTACTTCTCTAGTTCCGAGATCCTCGTTTCTCTTGTGAGGGGCAAGAAAGTGCCTGTCTATTCCAGGGCATCCTTAGAGGTGTGATTTTCAGGAAAATCTGTCTTTTTTTAGATACCTTAAACACCTTCCTCCCAATTGACGTTAAAGTGACAGTAGGAACTAACAATTGGGAACCAGACTTGTGTTTCTTGGAAGTGATTTGCCTGAAGGCTGAAAATAATTTTATTACAGATCCTTGTGGGTCCCTTCCAAATCAGAATATTCTGTGATTCTGTAATTTAATAGTAACAGCTCAATTTTACTTGACAATAGCATCTTTATAGTTATTCACATATAGGACACTTTTTAGATTAATTTTACCTACTGCTTCAGTCACTTCTGTACACTGAACATAGGTTTGTGCTTACAATGAGATTATATGAACTTACCATGGTGACATTTTTTGCATTTATTTCCTGTATTAAATACTCCATTTAAGAAATAGAAAAACCTTCAGACTGCTCCTGTAAATCAGTTTCCTATATTAGACTTCTAGTAGTAAATTGTTTTACACCTCTTTTGGAGTAGGCCAACTTGATGCTGTTTTGCATGCCTGGAGAAAAGTGAAGCTGACCTATTTTCACTGGTGTTATGTATATGCTGCAGAGGAATTTGTAGTTTGAAGATTTAGCTGGAATGCTTTACAAAAGCTCTAACTGAAAGCTTAATTTGACCAGACAATACCCTTTTTTGGCCCTCCTTTAAAACTCTCAAACTTGTCTCTAATTGTCAGTGCAGTGGTACTGGAAATCTTAGTAGAAGAGCAGTTGAGACATTTTGATCAAATCAAGTCAGTGATGATGGGACCCTGCCTAGACAACTCGGATGTGTACGCTGGAATCTTGAGTGGTTTATAGTTCCTGTGATCTAATGCCTCTTTCAGGCTCTAAGCTTTTTCAACAGCAGCTTAATTGATTGAGCACTACGGTTATTTGACCAAATGCTGAATAAAATGGCTTGCTTCTCTGGCAAGTGTTGGTGTCCAAACTTCATAAGGAACAAAACTGTCCTGTGAACACAGCAGAAATGGCCATGTGACGCAGCAGAACAAGCTCTGGGATCACGATTTGGGAATCTGGTTTGTAGTTTGTTCTTGTCCTGTTGCTTTGTAAACTCTGTTCCGTATCCATGCAGTGGATCATTGCACTTTATAATTTCTTATTGATTATATTCAAACTCCATGTGACTGATTAAGTGAATTGCTTTCCATTACACAATGAATTCTTGTGAATTAATAGCCTCTGTTAGCAGGGGTACTGAAGGAGCTTGTTTCTCATGGCAGCTGTGCAGGCACTCATGGGAATGCACGTGCAGAGTGGTGTCAAGACAAACAGTGCCTAAGGTCAGTAGGTGTCTTGTGCCTGTAGCAAACAGCTTGGGATGGGAGTAGTGGTCTCTGGGGTTTGACTGAAAGGCAGTGGCTGGGGAGGCCACTGAAGAAGATAAACATAAGTGCTTGCTGCTTTTTGCTCCCTGTGTGCCTGACTTCAAGTAACTTTTGCCTGATGGACTTACTGATGCTGATCCTAATTATCAGCCAGGTTAGACAGCAATGGTGTTCTCAAACTCATTCTGTCTTGATTTGGAAGTGCTATCCTGCTGATGAAAACCTGCAGTTCTTTAGACTTTTTTTTTTCTCTCTTCATCCATCTTCCACCCCCATGTCTCTGCTAACTGTTCTCACCACTGTCAAGCAATGTGATAAGGTTCCATTGCTTGTTACCTGCTCTTGTGTGAAGCAGCAAAGTCAGCAAACAATCTTGTCTGTTTTGCTCTCCTACTGGTAATAATCAATTCCATGGCTTTTGTTCTATGATACAGTTGATGCCTGTCCCTTGATAAAAGGCTAAAGAACAGATATCTTAAAAGCCCTTGTTGATATCTGCTAGAGAGCACTCATTTTGTTGGTAGCTCTTTTAGCCCATTAAACAGGACTAAGCAACTTTACTCAATGTCTGCCCCAGAAATATCAAGTTGTCTTGTCATTTAAGCAAGATGAGTGTGTATAACTCATGCTTTATCTCTTCATGTTCTTCCAAATACTGCTTTAATAGTAATATTACAGAATCTGTTTTGTCTCTTGTGCTTGAGATGTGCAAATGTGTTTTTCAAGACCTGTCAAAATGAAAGTCATGAAGTCATGTAATGTGAGAATGTTATTTAGGCTGATGTGTAAGTAGCTGCTTGGATCTTTATGGTGCCAAAGTGCTCGCTCAGAACAGTCACTGTGAACTGCTTTCCATGGGACCCTGAGCCCATAGCCCTCCTTGCTGAGGTGGTTGACCAAGGAGTAATGTTTGATTACGGAGTCTTGAGTCTTAGTAGAAATGCAGTCCTGAGTAGGAATCTCTGCAGGACCACAAGTCAAAGACTGAAAAAAATTGTTCTGGGATTATAAGCATTTGTTAAAGTCTTAATCCTG